CTTGATTCCTGTCTTATGAATGACAATGAATCCCATAGCCAGGTTAAGCTGCCTGATGCAGGCTCTAGATCCTTCCTGGCCTCCTGACTCCACCTTGTCTTCATTCTAATCCAAACACGGAGGCTGACATTTATGATTGTTAAATGCCACCGTCTCACTCTGCACCTGTCAGAGTCACTTTGAATCTTTACTGACATCCATCACATCCTATGTCCTCTCAGATATAAGTCACAACCCTGTGGGACTAAAGAGCTTATCGGTGTGTGCCCCAGGTGGAGGGATGCTGCATGAGAGAACGTGGGACCTTGCTTTTTACTGACCCCCCTCCCAGGGCTTTGTGCCCACCTGCCCTGGAAACCCTGTACATTGGCTGCTGAGGTCTAGCCTTGTCACCCTGTCCAGAGCCAGTGGCCTTTGCTATGTCCACATGAAATCTTTAACAGGTGTGGAAGCTGTCCTGCCTTCCTCATCCAGCATTTAGGACCGAGTTTGCAGAATTTGCCTTCAGGGCATTCTGTTCCCTTTATTGACCTGGCCCTAACCTTCTGGTCTGAGGGATAGCTGGGCATTCTAGTGGGACCTGTTCTGTGCTGTGATCTCCAATCTGATGTTCTCTGTACCTGGCTATGTCCTCTGGGCAAATTGTATCCTGCTCAGAAAACAGGAAGTGGCTGAAGTGGATGGACATCCATCCGTATGTGGCCTCCAGGATCCTAGAGACCCAGGAGGTCAGAGGGCTGAATGTGGTTGTGGGAATTTTTGTGTAGATGTATTCAGTATGGCCTTCATCTCGTTGCAGCATTGATGTCATGCCTGCGTAGGACATGGCCTGAGAGAAGTGTTTCTCCAGGACCTATAGATGCAGGGAGAAGGATGACAGGGTGGGCCTGGTTTGAATGCCCAGAGAAAGTGTAGCCATTGACTCCCCTAGACCAGTGTCATTACCGGGACCCATTCAGTGTTGAGCTAACCCAACCTGTACAACGTAAGACAAGATCCAAATCACAGCCTGTGTGGTATGGAACCAGTGCTCAGATTCCAGCATATGGGGGTGTCGCATTCTGATAGGCTCCTGTACAGAGCCAGCTCTTGCCTTGAGGAAGTCCCAGGATTTGATTCAGTTGTCATCAGCACCCAGTAGAGCAGAGAGCATTTGTGTTTATCATACGACTGTGTCAAGGCCTAATCCCACTGCTGAGCTGGCAGGCTGACATGTGAGCAGGCATCAAGGCACACCAGGGCCCAGTATCCCTGCTTGCTGTGGCCCAAGGCCTAGCCCTGCAGAAACCCCCTGCAGCTGAAGCCCAGGAATTGAAAGCTCAAATCACTCCAAGGTCAAGTTTGCTTATCTCTCGTGTTAAAAGGGACACAGTCCTGCATGGGGCTTCCCAGAGACCCTGAGCTCAGAGACCACACAAGGCAAACAGGGCAGGTGAGCCCAAGTGGAGGAAGGCCTGTTCCCAGGATGTGTTCTTAAAGGACAGCTGGGGTCCTGAGTGTACAGGCTCTTCCTTGCCCCTGCTGAAGATGACTCAGGCTGGCAGGCTCCAGTCTGGCACTGTAAACCGCAACTCCCCTGAGCGCAGGTTCTCCACCCACCCACTATGTGGGAACGAGGTGGAGACCTTTCTTAGCGCAGACACAGAGAGAAGTGGTATGAGTGAGAGGGTGTCCATCTGTCTAACGCTGGGGTAGTGATGTCACCACGGAATTCGCGCATGCAGGTCAGTGTGAAGGTAGCTGGTGGTATTGTATGGACAGCCACCATCTCAGAGCAGTAGAAGGCCATGTTGCCTATATGGAGGAGTGACTTAGGAACCTGTTTAGTGAGGTCAGCCGGTCATGGAGGGATGTTTTCTCTTGCCACAGTTATGTGCACCTGAGTGCAAACAGAGCCTGGTCAGTTGTTGGGACTGGGCTTATCCTTGTGGGGGAAGGGACACTTCCGGTCATCTGACATTTGCCTAAATTATGTCGTATCTTTCTCCAGGGACAAAGCCTGGGAGTTGTGGTATTTGCTGCCCCTCCCACTCCTGCTCTTTGCAGCCAGGTGCATGTGCATGGTCCCTTGATCATGTCACGTGACCTTTAAGTGGCTGCTGATAGGGAACTGGGGCCCAGGGTGGTGCTGCTGCTGGCCCAGGGCAGACTTCCCCAGTGTCCAGGAGTTACCACAACTGTAAGATGCCATTGACTTGGTAGTATTTCCCCTACTTTCAAAACCCTTGTTGGGACAGACCCTAGCTAGACAGCTCTAGACAACTTTCCAGGCCTTCCAGAGAAATCATATGTACTAAGGTGGCCCAGACACTCTAAACCTTGGCCAGAGTTACAGTGGGGCAAGCTGGGCAGGAACAGCAAAGTGACTGGAGCCAATGTGCCTGTTTTAAATAGAAATGTAGGGTAGTGTCCGCGTGGCTGCCCAGCCACACATCGCAGTGGCAAGCACAAGAAGGAAACCACTTCTTTGTTGTGTGCTGCAGAGCTTGCTGTCTGCTTCCAGCCAGTTTGTCCTTCAGCTCCCATCAGGCCCAGTGCTCTGGCTCTGAGATTGGTGCTAGCTCTGATTGGTTGTTCTGGGTGCTCCTCCTACCCTGCCTATCCTCCTCGCTTGTCGATGGTGCTTCCCTTTGCTTGTGCTTGCTCCTTAACAATAGCACATAATTCAGAGTGTGATTGGGTAGAATGACTCAAAACATGCAGCTTGAGGAAGGCAGCTCTGGCTGGGCTTTGCCTTCAGCTTGAGACAGCATGGGCATTTGCAGGAGGGGCGGCTCAGAGTTGTCTGGGAGGTCCTCGTTGCCCCATCATTCCTCTCAAAGTGTCTGATCCATTCTCCCAACATGAACTTGGTACACCAGCCAGGATCTGTCGGCATCATCATAGATATGAGCAGCAGAGTGTAGTCACCTTGGACAGCTCCTGCCAGTCCTGCCTTACCAAAGTGGCCCAGGTCACATCCAGACAGGTCATACCACAGGCTCTGTTGGCCTGGCCATTGCTGGGCTGTTGGAGCTGAGCCACCCTTCCCCATAGTTCCTGCTAATGTGTGTGATACCTGCTATAACCAGGCTCTGGGTTGGCCTGAAGTATCCAAGCAGCAAGGCTGATACAGCACAGGATCCAGTTGCCTGGAGAAAAAGTGGTGACAGTAGCAAAAGGATCCTTGTGGAAAGGAAGGACACCCCAAATTGAAGAAACTACTGTTGAGAAGCCCTGAGAGCTACCAAACAATCTGGTTGCAAATCACATGGCCACTCTTGTGTGCCTGTTCCACTTTCTTTCTCGTGTCTGTCCCTGTGACCCTGTTCTATTTCTTGCCAACACCTGTATGGCTTTCATCCAGGTGGGTGGGATTCTGACACCCAGCATCTCTGTGATGTGCCCTGTAGCCAGAAGGAGCTCCCAAGTGTGTGTGTGTGGGGGGGTACCATGTGCCATGAAGTTTTCTGGTGCCCACAGAGGGCAGCAAGTAGGTGCTTACTGTGTGCTGAGTGAATGGAAGCTCCTGGTGATGGGTGACAGATCCCAGGGTTTCTGTGAATGCGCCCTAATGAGACTGTGAAGCTGCGTGATGGAGCTCACCGTGCTGGGACAAAATGTGCAGCACCAGCCGGGCTGAGGGATGCCCTCTGTCCTCCTACAAGGTGGCCAGTTTTTCATGTTTATGGCCCACTGTGAGCACCACGCTATCTTTATTGGACAGCATCGCTCTTTAGAACTTCCTGGTACTGGCCGGGCAGTGACAGCTTAAACCACAGGGCTTTATTTCCCACTGGGATTTTCTCTCATGAGGTGAGGTTGGCGCTTTGGAGAAACGTGTCCCTTCTTCTAGGGTCACTCCAGGGCCCTGTGTGCCTGTGTGCAGCTGAGTGTACCTGTGTATCCACACTGAACAATACCCAGAACATGTACAGATGAGTGTGCTCATGTGTACCTGTGTGTCTACATGGGAACTTAAATGTAGCCTGTGTACATCTAAGCTTATCTTGTATACCTGTGTATTTTTACACAGGAACATACATAAAATATGTGTCTAACTGAGTGGCCTCTATGTACATAAATGCTTACATTGGCCTATCAGTGTAGCCTATGAGCTCCTGAATGCAGATAAGTACACCATGTGAAATTACATGTCTACGTGGACACACCTGTTAGCCTGTGTGCACACGAGTATAGCTGAATGTACTCATTAGAGCCTGTGTGTACACATGAGCTCATCCATACAATCTGTATACACCTAGGTGTAGGTGTACATGTAGGAACTTGTGTGTACCTGTGTATGTGTGAGTATCTACCCAGCACATGACATCCCTACAAGTCTGTGCCCATATAGAATGTGTGTTCTCACTTGAATATCTCCTGTGTATACCTGTATAGTTTTCCCCATGTCTGCCAGCCAGGCATGTGGCTTGTAATATCTGTTCTGTGTGTCTATGTGTTCCTCTTATGTATGTCCATGTGTATTAGCATGTCCAAGTTTTCAGGAAAATTATAACTTGGTCCCTGGCCATCCTGTCTTCTGTGCCCAGGTGAGGATGATAATACTTCCTTGCAATATGGTAGCATATATATTATGGCTGCTCCATTTTGTGGGTCCAAGATAGTACATCCTGCAGGTAGCGACTGACATATTGGGATGGAAGCTGCAAGGCTTGGCTTGATTTGGGGACCCTGTGCTCTGGGCAGGTGGTTTTCTGTGAAATCCAAGTGTGTGGGGGATGAGGGGGAGGCAGCGCCTTTCTCTGCAATTCTGAGATTTCATTTCCGTGTGTGGCAGAGATGGCCACATTTAATTTCCTGTCCATTGGGATAGGCTTACTGAAATCCCTGGCAGAGCATACAGAAGATGGGTTGCTGGCTGTCACAGAGAGCTCTCTCCACATCGCTTTCGCTGAGCCAGCTGTGGTGGACCCCACTCTAGGTGGGTGCTGGGTGGACTCCAGGGTGTGAGACTCCGGGTTGTGGCCACTCAGCTTGTGGTTGTTCCTTCCTTGCAGGTCAGCTGGCCGCTGGAACCTGTGAGATTGTGACCCTAGACCGGGACAGCAGCCAGCCACGGAGGACGATTGCCCGGCAGACAGCGCGCTGTGCATGCAGAAAGGGGCAGATTGCAGGCACCACGCGAGCCCGGCCTGCTTGTGTGGACGGTAAGAGCACCCAGCCTTCTGGGGATACTTCAGGGTACTGAGCCCAGTCTTTGAGGGCTTCTGTGCCAACAGGTATCACTCTAAAGTAGCTTTCTTCAGAATGCTCTGAGGCCAAGACCTCAAGATGTATCCCTAGAATCAGGCCTTTGGGCAGTCTTTCATTGGGCTGGCAAATCTAGTATGATTTATCTATCAGCAGCATATCCTGTGCATATGGGGGTGGCCACTAACTACATGATTCCAGGTATCACAAACCTGAAATCCAAGATATGGTTCCTGTTCTCAACCCACAGAGATGTTCATTAGAACAAGCTGGGCCAAAGCCAGGTAGGTGACTGAGAAAGGGATCTGCAGAATCTGGGGCATGGTCACAACAGGACTGACAACATCCTGAGCTAGATCCCAGATGGTGCCCACTGTGGATCTCAGATCTGGCTTGGTACCTGACCAGGCTCTAGTGTAGCTGAGAGTTCAGAGTTAGCTCTGCTTTAACTGGGGACCTGCCCTCCTCTGGATACCCATGGGTATAGTAAAGAAGCATCCTAAGCTTACTGAACCTTGGCCTTCCTCAGCATCTTCCCTAGACCCCCACGGTGTGGGCACTTAGAAGGGCTTGAAGACTGTTTACAGCACTCAGGAAAGTGCAGAATGAGGCTAAACATGCTGACCAAAGCAGAGAGTGCTGGGGAAACCATAAGCTGCCTGGTTCATAGCTAACCGTATATACAGCTAGTGAGGTCTAAGGATCGAGTTCTGTACACCCTAATTTCCAAGAGGCCGGCATCTTGATCCTTGTGGGCAGAGTGGAAGCCGCTTCTTGGTAACATAGATTGATTTTCTGGGAGCAGGTTGGGGTGGTGTGAAGCTCGCCAGCCACAGCACTTTCTCTTCCCTCGCTCATTCCATCAGCCTGGGGAGATGGGGTCTGGACTGAGGCTAATTGAATCTGGATCTGCCCATCTGTAACCAAATCCCCGCCCCTCCCCACAAGCAGCCTCCTGGTGCCTTAGGAACTGGGTCCCAGAGACTCATATTAAAACCTCACCATTTTCAAGGGAGGCCAAACAAATTAGTTGGCTTGAGTTTTCTGCACAGTGGGCATTTTTTGGGCTGCCCTGTAATTTAATTTTTGCATTTCTGTTTTCTTTCTCTGTGTGGATAATAAGTTTCCCTGTATGACATTGTGTCTGCTGAAGATAGTTTGGGCCAGTGATGTTTAGCCTGGAGTGGTCTATGCTGATGCGGAATTCAGGAATGAAAGTGGTAGCCCATGGCTGCTGCTGGGTGTTCTCTTGCTGGCCGACTTTGTACCTGTGAATACGTTTGCTCACTTACTCATTCATTCTTTCATACAAATGTGGTGCGTCAGGTGTAGGCAGGTATGAGGGAGATCATGTCTCAAAGTACCTGGTTCATAGCCCACCCCATACAGGCACACCCAGTGCGGTGACACTGGGGTACCTCACCTGGGCAAGGATGCATCGCCGAGGCAGTATTTGAGTGGGGTCCTGATGAATGAAGAGATCACCAGTGACGTTCCTTTCTGTGGAAAGAAGGAGCTGACGGTGAGACTGACTGAATAGGTGTGATCTTCCCTGGCCTTGAGTCCGAGCTAAAGCAATTATGCAGAAGCCAGTCTCCAGCATCATGACCCAACGTACCAGCAGCCATTGATCCACCTGACAGAATCCACAAGAAAAGAGAGCTGACAGCAATCTGGTCACCTGCCCCAAGGCAGGTTAACATTTAACACAAATATCAACAAGCAGACATAACCTTACGGCTATGCTTTGTGAGCTATGGAGTCAGTCCTGGCAGCCCTAGCTGGAATTGCTGTTGCTCAGTCTTACCCCACATGGTCCTGCCCCCTTCATGGTGCTGCCCTGTGGACTGAGACCCTTGCTGGGCTCTCAGCAGAAAACTATACACTCTCCCTCTGGCCAGAGCATAGAGGGGCTGCCTCCTTCCCCTCTGCTGAGTTCTCATGAGATTCCTTTGGAAAGAAATCCAAATAAAATGTGACTGTTAGGCGCCAGTGGGCAGAGGATGAGGAAACGCTTGATGGATTGCTTTGGAGATGAGATGCTCAGGGTTGAAGTCCACTAAATAGCAGTGACCATGGATGGCCCATCTAGACCTGAGGGGGCTCCCCCGAGATCCTTGCAGGAGGGTAGGCTGGGATGGGGCGCAAGCAGCCCCAGCATGAGGCGAGTCCCCTCAACTGCAGACAGGTGCCCCATAATGTGTGGTCAATGCCATTCCCCAGAGGAGACTTTCAAGATCCCTGCATGGCTGATGTTGATGACTCTGCCACCTGCCTGGCTGAATGTGCCAGTCTGCACTTCCTAGTAGGTACAGCAGCATGGGCTGGGAGGCAAAACAGATCCAAGGTTCTGACCCAAGGCTCCATCTTCATCTCTTCTCACCACCCAGAGTTCATGAGCAAAGCTCATATCTTCTTGAAGTGATGGGGACAGCATCTCAGCAGTCTAAAACTCTGAGCGCTATACAAGATACCAAGTGCTCCACAATACCAATTTGGGGACCACCAACCTTCTCCTAGTAATATACAAGACTTGCACACAAGAGGCAGTGGGGGCTATGCTAGGAAGTGGGGAAAGGGAAATATGTTTCAGGACCAGTTCACATGAAGAAGGCTGCTGTGTTTCTAGGTAAGGATGGGGCCCCTTAACTGGGGGGTTGATTCAGAAAGGCTGAGGGAAAAAGTGACCTCCACTCTTAGGAATGGCTACAAGGGACTGAGAATGCAGAAAGCAGCCCTCAGTCAGTGAGCCTATTTCCCATGAGGTTGCCAGAGCCCCTCCTGAGAGGTCTGTCAACAGGTGTCACTAGGGCACCTAGATCTGCCCATGCTGGAGGGTGACAGCAGAGCCCTGCCTCACACCCTGCACGGGCAGCAAAGTGGATGTGAGGACTGAGAACTGTCCAGCCCTCGGAAGATCAGTGAATCTTCATGGTCCTGGCTTGGGCTAAAGCTTCCTAGGTATGACCATCCACACAACAGTCAAAAAGGAAGGAAAAGGAAGGAAAAGGAAGGAAAAGACACTGGACTTCACCGAAGCACAAAGTCCCCTGCATCCAATTGTCCCATCAAGAAAGTGACAGTTTCACTTGTGAAATGACTTAGTGGTTGTAGGTGCTTGCTACTAAGCATGGCCACCAGAGTCTGAGCCCCAGGACCCACGTGGTAAAAGGAGAGAACAAACTCCCCAAGTTGTCCTCTGACCTCAACACTCACGCCAATACTCATGCCCCCCCCCCCCCCCCCCCCCCCACACACACACACACACACAAATAAGTAAGTAAATATAATCTTTAACAAAAACTTTTAAGAGAAAAGGCCCGGGCTATGACTCCGTGGGTAAAGGCACATGCTGCTAAGTCTCAATCCTGACTTTGATCCACAGGACCTGGAGACTGGAAGAAGAGAAATAGGTTGTCATTTGACCTCCATATCCACCCTTATAGCACCTGCGTGCCCACACAAAATAAATAAATAAATGTAATAAAAAAAAAACTTTTAAAGAATAAATAAATAAAATGAAAATTTTCATGAATGCAGGAATATAGAGCCCATGAGTTCCTTAAATGTCTAACACAGAGTTGTGTCATGAATACGGAGATTGCAAAAGGAGCACAGGCATGCGCACAGGTATCTAGAGCTTCAGGAATGGTAGCAGCTGAGAAGTTGACACAGTAGAGTGGCCATCATGGCCCCTGGGAAGAAGCAGACTGTGACTATCCACTGTGGCTAACCAGGCCAGGACGTGTTGGAGCTTCAGGGCTGGGGAAAGAAGCCACGCCCCCCCAGAGACTGCACCCTGAGCCTGTTGCTGTAAAATGTATTGCAGAAGTTCAGAGACAAAGATTCCTAGTCATCAGACTGCAGAGAGGTGTTTGCCTTGGATGACAAAACCAGCCTTTCTTGGCCAGGCTGTGCTCAGCTTCGGCAGCCATCAGTTGGCAGTGGTCTTTCACTTGACAGCTCTGTGGTTCTCTCACATCTGTTGTGTCAGCTCCGAGCCAGCCTGTGGGTCTGGTAATGACCAGCCTCACCCCACATGGATCTCTACTTCCCAGCGTAGGCTTTGGTTGCTGGCTTGTACATCCTAGGACTCGAGTCCTCTGTTTGTCAGATGCAGCAGGCAGTGACTAAATCTGATAATTAGCCATGCCTGAGGTAGGCTACACTGTAGACTCCTAGAAACTGAGAGATATTTAGGATATTCTCACTGCACTCCACCTTCCCAGCACAGCCATGCGCAACATCTTCATGCCTGAAGATCAGCCTGGCCCAGGGGGAGTTTGGGTCCCTCTCTGCATCAGGACCTGGTCAGCTCCGAGCAAGCTGTGGCTGGCATCTGGGATGGAGGTGACGTGAGGAGAGTCTCCGTTCCCTGGATATGAACTTGCATCAGGACTACAAAGGGGGGAATCTCAACAGGAACATAGTCTACTGGCTTGTCCAGCTTTAGCTGTGGCCACAGGGTTTGATGACCACTGCATCCATAGCCTGTATGCTTCCTCACAGTTCCGCACTATAATAGGGTGATTAGGCACAATGTGCTTTGGGTCCTTCCAGATCTTACTGTTCTCGGTGTCAGAAACATCGCGTGGCAACCCAGTAGCTATCTGATACTTGGGTAGAGCGGAGAGGATGAGTCCCAGGACTCTTGCATAGGACTTGGGCTCCCCTGAGTGTGCCCACTGGAGAAGGCCCTGCCCTGCCTCTGGGCACCTGGATGAAGGAAAAGAAGCCACAGAGTGTGGAAGACCTTTGCCTGTGTCTTTAGCAAGCAGCTTGAGATGCTGGGCTTTCTGTGCACTGAGGGAAGCCGGCTAAGGTACTGCTGAGCATGCGTGGGGCTGAGCATCCTTAATTTTCAACATAGTGACTCCAGATATGGTTTCCTGCAACCACAGAGGAAGAGACAGGCAGGCAGTCTCCTTGCTCACGTCCCTTCCTCTTCTGAAAGCAC